TTAAGATTTTTTTGCAAATTTTATGTCGGATCCAAGTTTTGTTTTCATCAGTCTTTCTTGCTGTGTACATATTTCTGGCTAAACTAAAAATGTAGAAATTACTTAAACCTAATGTTTTATTAAACATCTTTTAAGTATGTTAATTTAAAGTAATATGTAAGAGACACTAGGTTGCTTGGGAATTCACACATAGTCCATGATGTGTGCTGTTTCTAGATGTGTGTGTTCATGTGTGCGTGCATGTAGGACCGGTGTTGGCAATTATCTGTTGGTTCATCATTGAAGTAGAAAAATAGTAAAGTAAACTATGCACGTATGCAGCTGCTCCCCTTTCCTATTCCATGTTGTGAACCATATACTATGGCCATGGGAAATAATATATGTAGCCTCCTAGGGAGATTATAAGAGACCGACCTTGTTTTGGCATTCTGTTTCTCTATGTATCTATTAATTGTTCATCTTCACCTCTAGATATCATATCTAATATTGCCTAGAATGACATATTTCCATTCCTTTCTTTCCAAGCATTAATGTGTGCTAATAAAGATTTAAATTGCTGAAGTCTGAAGTAAACACTTGAAATGACTCTTCTCTAGTGATCTAACCAGTTTTTGAGAACCAACTTGACATGTGTCAGGGCAGGAAGAATTCACTACCACTGATGGTATTTGAAGAGAATGGAAGAAAAGTCATATTTAAATCACAAAACTGTGAATATGTACTAAGAGAATAACAAATTTGGTCAGGACCTTTAACTACAGAATAATTTATAAGAATTAGAATTATTTACAGAGGTATAACAAAATCTGTTTGTCAAATCTAAGCATTTTTAATGTTAAATTTCACTGTTGGCCTTTTCTCTTGTCATAAGGAAAAATAAAGTTTCTTAGTTGACATTAGAGAACAAACATTGCTGACATTTGTATCTCTCTAATAATGGTATAGAAATTTAATTAGGAGCATGACAATGTTTTTAAAATCTGGTAAGTGTAACAAAAGCACTACTCTAATAAAAATAACGGCATGAAATACATAATAAAATACTTAGCATGTACCTATATGTAAATAAATAATTTATATACTTTTAATAAAGAAAAACATACTTTAACAATTGTGTATTACAGCATTTTAATTTGAAGCTATTACCTTTTGAGAGGCAAAAATGTTATCACGTATCTCTGGGGATACATCAATATTTGGAATAATTTGGCTTCTATTGTAGGATTAATTAGCAAATCTATTGTAACTCTCTATTGTATAAATCCAGCTATGAGAAATTCAAACACATAAGAAATAATAATTAAAATTAATTTTAAAATGCTTAAAATTTTTCATCTATTTTAAAAATTGGTAGTCTTGAGAAGCCATATTTTTTTTTTTTTCTAAGAGGGAAGCAAGAGGGCATAGTTTCTACCAATGATCAAGAACCTTATTAATGGATACACAGATGGGCATTTGCTGATACTGGGGGCATTAGCAAATACTGGGGTATGCATTCTATTTCTTTTCAGAGGCAAAGTCTGAGGAAATAGGACATATGCTTACAGTGTTGGAATAGCTTCTGCCTTCAGGCAGTTGAGTGTGCTCAAAAAAGTCAGTCGAGCCCTTTCTGTTTCAATTCCTGATTATGGGTAAAAGGAGAGGTGTGATTTGAAAATGTCATCAAGGGGAAAAAGAGATACTAGAATTAAATCAAATAGTATATGCTGATCTACTCTGGTGCTATGCACACTTCAAGAATTTCAACCTCTGTGGAGTACCTTTCCAATGTTCCTTTATTTCCCTTTACTCACTAAAAATCCAAGTAGTTCTTCTATTTGATTTTGAGCCTATCAACTCACAACTAGCTTTAGTGATTTTTTTGTGTTAGTACTTTAGCAAAAGCATAAGAAGCAAACTCTTGATAAAATACAAGAATATAATTTCTGATTATAAAGCATCCAGATAAGCAAAACAAAATCAGAAATCTAATAGAGAAAATACATAGTCCATTTGATCACATATGCTTTAGAAAGACTGAACCTGAGTTGAAAATTAGCACTTCACAGATCAAACAATGATATTCTCAAGTTCCTTTACTAAAATCTATTAAAATAGTGAAAAAAATTTAGATGTAAAAATGTGAGCTGGTATAGCATTAGTTCTCAGTTATTTTTAATACATGTAATTGTATATACTCTTATACTTGAATGATAGGGGAAAAGAATTGGCCAAATTAAAGAAACCAACTTATCATATATTGGCTACCAAAATATTATTCTAATTATTTTTAAAATTTCTGGCTGACACATTTGAAATGTTCCCAGTCCTGCCTTATATAACTCAGAAAACACAGACTCAACATGACTTTCAAGGACAAGTCTGAATGTTAATGTTTCCATTTTTGGCCTCATGGCAGAAAGAGTTTTATTAACCAGTGTAAGCTCTGGAATGTCAAAGGCGTGATAGGCAGTATAGACTCCACACACAAAATAAATGCAGAGTCATTTTATTCTGAATTGCTTCACTTGAAAATATAGCATAAAAATCTAGAGAGAGGAACTAAAAGTAAGTGATTTTATAGTGCTCTAAAACTGAGACTCCAAAAAATGAAAGTCTTAGGATAAAAATGCTCATGCATTTGGGTTTGTGATGTCACCAACCCCCATAAATTCCCTTCCATCCACCATAGGACATGCATAACTAAGAACTATTCTGATAGATGCCAAGCCTCATTGTTTCACAGGCAGGGGGTGCTGATGGTCTAGAAAATAAGAGCTCTTGTCCCAAACCTGCTCCTCCATTCATGTAGTATATATAATACAGCATTTCAGAGAGTAAATTAGATGGCCAGACATTGTGCATACTCATTTAGGAATATTCTAATAACAGTTAGTGTAGCGAGAGAAGGTCTTGGAAGCACTGGACCTCCTAGGCAAGATGTCTCACTTCTAGAGTGTCCTTCCCTGTTGACTCCTGTTTCCTCTCTGTTTATTTTATTACTCTCTTTACCCTGTTGATCTTTACCCAAAAAACCTTGTATACTATGATGTTTAAAAGATTGAAATACTGGTCTGTGGTTATATGTGATATCAGTGTAAGTATAATTACAGTTTTAAAAAAGCTAATACCTCCTTTTAGATTGTACTTTTTATCCACACTCATCTGTGCATATTGACCTTACCCCTCCACCTGGCACCATTGATTCAAAATCAGTTTATTGATCTTCAGTTGCTTGGAATATGTAGTGAGAAGGACAAGGGACCTCTCTGTTCTAGTGGATCTTCTATTCCAGTTAGTAGAGACAAACAGTAAATGACTAAGCTAATATATAAGAAAATACTGGCTGTGAAAATGTTATATTAAAAAATTTATAGAGATTGAGAGTAAATGAGAAGGAGACTTAGATAACATCTTCATGAAAAGCCTCTGTGGGCAAGTGGCACTTAAAATGAGCCTTGAACACTAAGAAGGAGACGTTATTTAGAGGTACGGAGGAACACTTCATGCAAAACAAATGACCTGACAGATTATGGAAGAGAAGAGTAGTGTGGCTGAAACATAGTATCAGAGAGCAAGAACGGTATGCAACTAGATTATAGAGGTAGGCCGGTGCCAGATTGTTTAAGGAGATAAATAATTTGTATTTGCCCTCTTAGTGTGATTTGACTCCATTTTTTTTTCTTAATCAAAAATACTGCCTCCAGAATTTTTATTGAAGTAAAAAATGGAGAGTTACCATAAAGGCCTAGTTGATGTACAATATTTCATTCCTGCAGATTTTAATAGTATATTATTTCATTTATCTCTTCATTTCATTTTTTTTTAAATATTTTTTTATTTATTTCTAGGAGAGAGAGAGAGAGAGACAGCGTGAGCAGGGGAGGGTCAGAGAGAGAGGGAGTCACAGACTGAAACAGGCTCCAGGCTCTGAGCCGGCAGTCAGCACAGAGCCCGACGCGGGCTCGAACCCACGAACCGCGAGATCATGACCTAAGCGAAAGTCGGACGCTTAACCGACTAAGCCACCCAGGCGCCCCTATCTCTTCATTTCAAATAGAGTTTGGGTTACATTTTTATTTTTTTTTCAAAGTTACACTTTATTTTTTTAGAAATTACACTTTTATTTATTTTTTTTTAAATATAGGGCATTTTATTTTATTTTATTTTATTTTACAAATTGTTGTCAAGTTGGTTTCCATATAACACCCAGTGCTCATCCCCACAAGTGCCCCTCTCCGTGCCCCTCCCCCCTCCCCCCCCACATCCATCAGTCCTCAGTTTTTGTCAGCATTCAAGAGTCTCTCATGGTTTGCCTCTCCCCCTTTCCCCCACTATTTACCCTCTTCTTCTCCTCGATTGTCCTCCGTTAAGTTCCTCCTAATCCTCCTATACGTGCAAACATATGATATTTGACTCCATTGGTTTTTATACAGAGGATTGACATCTGATTTGTAGTTGAGAAGAGAATGAATGAAGAATGGGCTTGAGGACCTGGAGGTTGATGGCAACCTTTATAAGAGAAGAGTAGGGTAAGGAAATGGAAGGAGTAAGTGTAGAGAACAAAATCTTTTTCAGTGCAGAAGAGCAAATGATAAGACAATAGTAGGAAGGGTTTCTTGGGTCAAGAGAGTTTGTTTTGTGTGAATTGATGATGGGGAACTTCAGTAGAGAAAGAAACAATGACGATACCAGGGGCAGCAGGTAATTTTAGGAGAAGAGTCGTTCACAAAGTGAGAGAAGATGGGATAAGGTGTAAAACATCCTACCATACCTTTCTCAAGAGATGCTCCCTCTGTATTTCCACGTTTGTTTGACAGTAGACATATGGAAATTTTGCTGAGCACCATAGCAGAAAATTTGCTTGGAATGGTTCTTATTTAATAAAAAATTATATTACCTAAAAGATGATAAATAAATCCCACACAGTTGAGGATAAATGTTTGTGGCATTCAGTTCAGGGGACTATTATTTGAATTACCTTTATATTATTTATGATTTTTATTTTTATTTTCTTTCAGGTGCTTCAAGAAGACCTAGAACAGGAACAAGTCAGGGTCAATTCTCTCACTCACATGGTGGTGGTGGTCGATGAGTCTGGTGGAGACCATGCAACTGCTGCTTTGGAAGAACAACTTAAGGTCAGATTATTTTTCTTTAATACACTAATGTTATCATGGAAAATAATCAATTGCAATTCAGAAAATATTTAGAAAATTTATAATGTCATTTGTGTATTACAAATATTTACAGTGCTCTATGTTTATTTAAACTAATTCAGATTATGTCCCTTTTGTGCACATTTCACTTTCATTAACTACTGTTTGTTTACAATATTATATAATTTTAAAAAGTCTGCATTCATATATTTCCCCAAAGGCTCTTTTTTTTTAATTGTAATTGAATAACATGTATTAGAGAAGTAATCCGATGATATTACTTATGCCCTCTTCAATCCTACGGCCAAGGGGGTAAGTGCCCCGGTGGCTCAGTGGGTTAAGCGACCGACTTCAGCTTAGGTCATGATCTCACTGTTTGTGCATTTGAGACTTGGGCTTTTGTGTTGACAGTGTAAAGCCTGCTTCAGATTCTGTCTCTCTCCCTCTCTTCCCCTCCCCTACTTGTACACGCACACACACACACACACACACTCTCTCTCTATCTCTCTCAAAAATAAACATTAATAAATTTAAAAAATATTACTGGGGTGCCTGGGTGGCTCAGTCGGTTAAGCATCCTACTTCAGCTCAGGTCATGATCTCACGGTTCGTGGGTTTGAGCCCTACATCAGGCTCTGTGCTGACAGCTAGCTCAGAGCCTGGAGCCTGTTTTGGATTCTGTGTCTCCCTCTCTCTCTGACCCTCCCCTGCTCACACTGTCTCTCTCAGAAATAAAGCATTAAAATTATTTTTTAAAAACAATTAAAACAATAAAAAATTACAGCTCAGAAGAGGACAAAAGTAAAAAAAGAAAACACAAAAAGAATGAATAAATTGAGAAATTAAGCACCTTCAGTATATTTCTTTCCTAGAAAACTTCAATTATAGTCTTGATGAGGACATAGCAGAGCATTTAAGTTATGGAAGTTTTATGGAGAAATAAGCCCTCATTCAACCTGAGTCATAGTAATTGTGTGCTTGGGAATATAACCAGTACATAGTAACAAAGGGTAAGGTGGGTATTTTCATATTTTTAACTTTTCTTCCTATAATTGGGAACAGTAATGTTTTACTGCAAAAATAATGAAAACATTTTCGAAAAAGCAGTATATACATATACCAAAACATCAGCATTAAGGAAAAATAGAAGAATTTATTGTTCTGAAGGTGGCACGTACATTCATTCATATATATATATATATATATATATATATATATATATGCAACTGCAAATTATACTTGAGGCATTCATTGTACCCATGAATCCTGAAATCTCTGCCTTTTCTTTGTGACTGTTAGGCGCCAATAGTCTGACATGTCTAAGGATCCAATCTGTGTGGGCTTAAATAGCTTTATCAGCCCAACGTTGTTCTAAACATTGTTTCTCTTACCTAACCTATAACACAGTTTCTTAAAGCCTTATCTCTGTTTTCTTCTCTTTTTGTGTCAATTGTATTTTTTTATCCGAGGAAAATGTCATTTCCTCCAGTTACTGCTTTAGACTGGCAGTCTTTAACAATGTTATCTTCTTCTTTATCATTAAATGACAAAAAGAAAATTCTTGAACTGCTACAACTGAGCATTTGACATCTATTAGTCATCGATGTTAATTGCATGTTTCAGTGAAATTTCAGGGATTACAGATATGGAAAGGCTTGTGACACCTGATATTATAATATAGCATCATATATATGATCAAATAAACTGTATACACAAAGCACTTAAAACCAGTTGAAGGGCTGTACTAATAGGCCACCACTGTGACCATTTGAAAAAATTCCATAGTTCTGATAAAGTAGTGTTGCAACTAATTGCAGATGGGTAAAAATCTGATACTCAACATTCCTCAGAAATTATCAGAAAAGATAAAAGATGGCTGAGGGGCAGAGTTGGGAGGGTGGCAGGTTAAAAAAAAATTAAGGCAGACATTTTTCTAAATCATAGACTATTTCTAGTTAAAACTACTGAAAGACATCCACTTTGGTATTACTGGACCTAGTCCAGCTAGCTTTAGAATATAATCATTCCAGGTTGATGTCCGTGCTGTGAGGCTAGACCACCTTGAAAATCAGCCCATAGCACTTGTAGATGTTGACTGGGTTAAATCTTAATTAGGATAAGTTGAGCTGTGTCCCTTAGGTTTTTTATATTTATTATCCTACGTACTTTCATTTTCACCTTATTTTCTGTCTTTATTTCTCCTGCCCAGAGATATCTAGTGAGATAGCTGTGCATGTGTTAGTTACTCCTAAATTATATAGACTCCATCTGCATTTGTCTGTGATCACCTCCCATTAATTAGTGTTTACTACCACCTCCTAGCCTCCTCTTTTCCCCTCAACCCCCTTTTCCCTTTTGATACCCTAATTTCTCTCTGCATTCTCCCTTACTGTGCCCTTTCTTTCAGCTAACATAGACTAGTGTCTAAAAGGGCAGAGTTGGAAGGAATTCTGTGGCGAGAATGCCCCGGCTTTAACATTTCTTTCTTCTCATTCTGTCAGTTTTCTCAGTGTTAGAGGAATCCATGCTTGAATTCTGTGCCTTATTTGACCTTTGGTTTGAATTGCTCTGGAATGCTGGGCTTCCATTTGACTTTGAAATTTTGATGATTCATTTTAGGTTCATTTCCAGTGATATGATCTGGTCTTAACCTAGTAGAATTTTTAAAAGGAATGGGGAGAGGAAGAGAAGTGGGTAGAGAAGGAGGAGGAGAGAAAAAATAATAAAGGATAAAAAGATAAATACATTAGAGGAGTCACTTAAACAGCGGCACAAGTATTCTCTGAACATAATAAGAATCCCTTGTGTGCTTCAGAAAACGTAGACTATTACTATGTTTTGTGCTAGGCCCAGAGGAATTCTGTTAGAATGGGAAGAATTTTAAGAGAGAAAAACAGGTATATGGACTCCATACAAGGGAAAAAAAAAAAAAAAAAAAAACTAGCAGGGATCTGAGAAGAAACCTTAAGGGCTTTCATTAGAGCTAGGTCTGGTCCATAGTTTATTTCTCTAGACTTGTTACTATTGAATGTTTATTCCACTCCTTTTTTCTCCACCATCACAATGCCTTAATCTCTTTGACTCCAGTATGCTGAATCCAGAGCCTCCAAATAGATACCCAGTGGTCTTTAGTTCAGAGATGCTCATGGGGCAAACTAGGAAGAGAAGTCCTTGCTTTAGTGTATTAAGAGAGGGATGTGTTCTTATCATTTTGAGTTAGAACTCTGAAAATACTCCTCATAGAATATTTTTACTTGTGTTGACTTAGTTGTATGAACTTTATTATAAGAACTTTCTCTGACTTTAAAAGACTTTTAGAAGTCTTTCTATTAAAAGGTTTGAAGAAAAACAAAGGTCAAAACACATGCTTAGGGATTCTGAAAGATAGCATGGCTTATGAAGGATAATATTCTGATAAGTACAATCTCTTGTAAATTAATCTGATTCTCTCTCAGAGGTTCAACTTGTCCCTCAGCAATGTCACCTCAGGTCATAAACTGGTCCTTAACTTTAGGGGATTCTGGGATATCAATGCACAGAGAATCTGATTTGTAAGCAGTGATGCCAGTTAACAGATTTTATTGAGAAATACCTTGGCTAAATAACTGAGACGAGTAACTTATATACAATATTCAGTCCTGGAGGACATTACCATATCTCCTTCTAAAGTATCTGCATTTTGTTTTGTGTTGTTTTGTTTTGTTTTGTTTTGTTTTCGGAGAGTACTAGCTATGTTGTTGATGTGTCCCAGGGGTTGTGCTGTGTAACAGAGGTAAAAGAGTGAATAAAAAGAAAGTTTGTCATTACCTTCCTAGGTCAGGAGTGAGTAATCTGTGAGCCTGCTGCCTTCCTTGGAACCTAGAAACAATGGTAGCCATTTCTCAGGCTGTTTCTTTGATCAATGCTAATTCCTGTCATTGGTGCTAACCATGTTAGGCTCTGTGACTGCTCTCTTGTTTCTTGCACTCAAGCAGAGGAAATAGATATGAATCAAATATTTACAAAAATGAGCAAGTAGTTAAAAACAGACACAACTTATTTCTATGAAGGGAAGGAATAAGATTTTCTGAGAACACACTAATCTGACTTCAACTGAAATTTGAAGGCAAGGATTGATTCCCTAGGAGAGTATTTAAGCTGGGGTCTAAAGGATGTGTTTAAAGTGCTTGTAAAGGGGATTGGTGGAGGTAGGTAGTTTCCAGGAAGGGGAAACAGTTAATCAAGTGAGCCTGGCATCCTCAAAGAACTGAAAAAAGGGCAAATTTGACTACAACCTTGAGGTTCAGAAGAGTGATGCTAGAGGAGGCTTAGCAGACAAAAGGGACTTGGGGCTTACCTAAGAGTTAGAACTAGTGTGCGATGCTTAACTCCACCAAAATTCAGTCAATAAACAAGTATTGAGCAGCAGCTTCTTCCTGGATGACAGTTGGGACTACAGTGGGCGGGATGAGCAGGGGGAAAAGTCTTGGCACCTCGTGTCCTGGACCTGCACCAATCAGATGCAATGAAATGTAAAATTATGGCCATGATGAGTTCACTGAGGCAAAAGCATACATCGCTAGATGACCTATCTTACTATAGAGGGTCAGGAAAGTAGAGGTTAGATTAGGCCACAGTGAAGTGTAGGAAAGTGTTCTGTGCAGAACAGTATTTATTCATTCAATAACCATGTCTTGAGTGCTGCTAGCTCCCTGCCAAGTCTAAGATTTGAACTTAAGTATGGGTAAAACATTAATTGTTTCTCTATGAAGCTTACATTCTAAGTCCATGCTATAATAAATCAGCAAGTTTTATACTATGAAAAAGGTGATAAGAACTATAAAGAAAAAATACACTGGGTAAGGGAGCAGTTTTACATGGGAGTGCTCAGGGGACGCTTCCTTGAAAAGTTGGCATTTAAGTAGAAACTTAAACAAAGCAAAAGAGGTGTTTTGAAGGTACACAGGTCCTTTGGAGCCTTTTATGTTTGAACTATGGGAGAA